CGCATAGTTACTATAATCCTACCACCCTCATATAGTCTTACCTACAAATTCACTTCAAATCTCTTACTCATGCCTGATTTCTTCCGTATCCTAATACCCAGATGTCGTTCCACCAGGGACAACGTCAGGCAACGGCTTCCCCGCATAGTTACTATAATCCTACCACCCTCATATAGTCTTACCTACAAATTCACTTCAAATCTCTTACTCATGCCTGATTTCTTCCGTATCCTTATTCCCAGATGTCGTTCCACCAGGGACAACGTCAGGCAACCGCCGCGTCACGCAGGAGTTGGATCTCATTCCTCGTCGCGCTACATACATGGAGTTTCCGCAAGCTGCTCCGGCCGAGTGCGCCAGCTATACCTCTCGCGAGCCCCTACGACAGGACAGGGCCTACGCGAGGTACGACTACCTCCACCTTACGGGAGCTGTCACCTCCCTTTGGTGGGCGTATCCCCGCCGAGCTACCAGTCCACAGTACGAAAGCTGATCAACTGCAATCGCAGAGGTGGACCAGCCGAGGGCGTTTCTCGTTCGCTGTAGCATAAGTGGTATCCGCGGTACTACGCCTCTATCGGACCCGCACGCTAACCGACATCTTGGGGGGGGTGAGGTCCCAAGCGCGGCTCATCGCCGGTCGACTAGGACGTATCCCACACGCCACGCGCACACTACTATAAGGTACATAAAAGTAAAGCACACGCACACAAGTACTAAACGACGCAAAGGACGTACAACGCGACACCCACCTAGTCCCTTAGTATCCATCCCATAACTTCCTGGTGTGGGAATCGGCTGAGTGTCATGCGCGAGACTTAATATAAAGCCGCGCGGGCGTAGGCCTTATCATATTGACTAGCAATGCCAATGCACACAGGCAGTCGCGAAGATGACGTACTATGCAGTGCCCATAATCGAGCGGTCCCTCGTGGATCCGAGTACCGCTTATGACACTCACGTGTCAGACTCGAAGTATCTTGAAGGTTCCGCCCTTCACGATATTGCACGGCCGAGGGACTAGCCGTGCGGCCGCCACGACACGTCCGACTTTCGGCCCGAGTGTCCTGGCGGTCAAGGCAAATAGGCTCTGCCCGAGAGGGGGTCCCCTTCAGTGCAGGGCCTAGGGTTTGGGATGTCCTGGACAAGGACCTTGAATCCCGGCCCAGGACCAACGTCCGACTAACAATCTCCAAGAAACACTTATATAAGTAATGGGGTCATCCTTTCTCTACTAGCCCAACCCCTGATTAACTCCTTAGCACGCSGCCCCTTTCAGGCCCCACAAGTACCCTAYATAGGTACGCATACATACACATATACACACATATGCACACATMTGGGAATGAACGTGTGACGATCACATCTCACAATCACAGTGGGTCTCCTCATGCACATATATAAGATCGCAGGACAGTCMAATSCAATAATCCARGTCACAGAACATACCTGCAATCAYATCAAAGARTCAAGCACAAGTCCATACACTAYACRGAGTCAACTCCAACCRGTCTCTATGCTCATACCCTTTGCCTCAGYCATGCAAGYCCCAACCTCCAGCCARYCAACCTTAAGTAAATACTCAGTACCTTTGTTAAATWRCCATTCAATAAAAGTYCGGGTGAAACCCCAWCAAAGCAGAAAAGATCACCAGGGCTGAAGCCTCYTTAGGTTGAGTAAGGAKAGTGGGTTGAGGTTGAGTCGTAAGCCGACGAATCGRCAACTGACCTGTTATCTGTGATAACAGAAAGTGATCCTTGTAGGATCAACTGAGTCTAGTCCACGTCTWKAAGCAACTGATCAAAGAGACYTGTAACACAAGACAGGCCAATCTCAAACTTAAGTCTATACGCTCAGGGAGAGTAATCTCCATGTCAYAATYTGACTCAAGTCACCCTATCTAACTAAGTCTAAGTCTACCTCTAGATAGCACTCARCAAAAGGTGAATCTCGTCATAGTCTCCCCTWCATATGTCGCCACCTGTCCAAATATAGTCKAACTCCTMTAAATTAGGAAAATTTCGGCAGCGCTTCCCATASGGAAAGTGCTAGTCCAAGATTTATACAAGGCCAAGTTTGRAATCTTGAGAATGACTTCGATCCTTYAGGGCCTGACTTTGGCTAACTCCCTGAATTAGTAAAAATTTGGGCAGCATCTCCTTTGGAAAASGAGGCTCCCSAGATTCTTACTAAGTCAAAACATCATCAAGGCCGRATCTTGAAYGAGTCAAAGTTTTGACTAACTCCTTGATTTTGTAGAAATTTCGGCAGCGCTTYCCGTAGGGAAAGTSGCTTACCAAGAKTTATACAAGACCAAGTACGAATCAAAAGATCCCAGAAAATGCAGAAATTAATCTAAGTAAAAAAACGAGCCCCGAAAATGCARGAAATGACTCTAACTCCTATGGCTCTAGCACGTGGCGAGCAACTACARCAACTACCTATCAAATCCAACCTYAGAMTAAGAAGTGGCATCACCCAGTCACATGCCGGCCAAACCACAGACATGCACTCTCTCGCCATCCCAAGTTACCTTAGCAAACAATAGTTCGTAGTCTTTCAATGATTTATCCCTTATACCCAGCTTACATAGGGCATAAGGCTAGACCACCMAAACTTATGGAACATGTYTAGCCCARCCAARAAGTATACACAAACACARGGCACAACAACCTTTCTCTTCTTTGGGCATATGACTAGGGCCCCCTAGTCGCCCTGAACTGTTTAAGTATCCAAAGTTTATATAATTGTCTGCACTTGGTCTTTTGAGGTAGCATATAGCTGAGCCGATCATCTTCAGCTCAAGACTCAGCCTGCCCCTTCGTACCACAAGTTTATTC